GGATACGGGTCCAGGTTCCTGCTGTGCGGACTGAGGCTGGGAAAAGGAGTCTTTTTTATTATGGTCCTTGGTCTTGGAATGACCTTCAATCAAATCTAAAACTGAGGGCACTTGTCTCAATAGCATGTTTTAAGTTGAACTTGTCTGAGGTCCTTACCACCAGCTGCTCTTGCAGTAATAAGTACTTTCTTACTGTCCTAATGTGCTCAATGTAGTGACTGCTTTTTCGTCTTTTGTTTTCTTAGTTATGTTCTCTGTATTTTATGTTTGTATTTTATATGTTTGTGTAACGGTGCTGCCTTCTTGGCCAGGTCAGCATTGCAAATGAGACTTTATCTCAATGCTTTTATCTGGTTAAATAAAGGTTAAATAAAAAAAATTAAAAAAGTAAGCCGACCCAGAAACATCGCAATGGACAAAAAACAATGGGATTTATTTCCTTTGCTTTTTGCTATATAGCAGGAAATGAGCTCTGTAGCGAACACACATTCATGACACTTTAAATGTTTCGTTCAGCAGGAAAATCGCCACACATTTCATATTTATTTTTAGCGTGAATGCAAAAGTAATAAGCCTATAAAGAAATCAGGAGCACATGACTGCAAATCATTAATGCTAAGCTAAGAGCAAACGGCTGTTCGGCGTGAGGACGATTAGTCGCCTAATTTAATTTTTATATTCGAGACAAGGTACAAATAATAATAATAGATTACATTTGTATAGCGCCTTTCAAGGGACCCAAGGCCGCTTTACATGGTGAACAAACAGTCAAACAAACAAACAAAAGGGGCAAATAATAAAATTAAAATAAAATAAATAGCAGTTGGAGTGAAAGGTAACTGGAAGGTGTAAAAAGCTAAGTTATTTCCTACTTTTAGGTATAAGTAGTGGTGCAGTTAGTATAAGTGCAGTTATACATGTTATAATCTGATCACATTTTCCATCAAAGTCATGGAAAGTGGATATGGGAAAAGAAATAGGACAATCTTATTTTAATATATTCAACTGCAGACCCAGTTTTTCTACCTTATTATAAGTTCCCCATTACTGCCCAGTGGCTTCCAGTGCAACCCGTTAGCATTCATTAGCCTCATTCTTGGAGCAGTTTATCAAATAGCTCCCATCGCCTTCAGTTCACTTTGAAAACACTGTTTTCATCCCAAGCGGTCTGCATCTTTCTTAGCTTGCCATTGATATGTCTCCAGGGACTTCAAGTTTATATTCTCTCATTATGATAAGCGTTTGATCTCCCTAGAGGTGTCACTAGCATATATCAATTCTGTTATTTCAGTCCTCCAGCTGATGACTTTTTGGACAAAATATTGACTTGCTTTGGATTTGATTCTCTCGTTGCTGGGTTTATTTGACACTGCTTTTTCTAGATGGTTTTGTGGAAGGTGACGATGGCAGTGCTGTGTCTATGTTCCTTCATATATCATTGTTTCTATTCATTGCTATACCAGTTTTTAGTTATACCGGTTGCCTCTGTGGTCACATTAAAACCAAACTCCAGCCAGGTCTTCAGTAACGACATTTAGTGAGTACCAGCACCTGGATTTCAGGCCACTGCATTGAGGTTTACTCAAAGCCAGATATAAGGGTGTTTCTGGTTGCTCCCAGTCTCATACAGCTGGCTTCTCCTGCAGTCATACAGCTGGCTTCTCCTGCAGTCATACAGCTGGCTTCTCCTGCAGTCATACAGCTGGCTTCTCCTGCAGTCATACAGCTGGCTTCTCCTACAGTCATACAGCTGGCTTCTCCTACAGTCATACAGCTGGCTTCTCCTGCAGTCATACAGCTGGCTTCTCCTGCAGTCATACAGCTGGCTTCTCCTGCAGTCATACAGCTGGCTTCTCCTGCAGTCATACAGCTGGTTTCTCCTGCAGTCATACAGCTGGCTTCTCCTGCAGTCATACAGCTGGTTTCTCCTGCAGTCATACAGCTGGCTTCTCCTGCAGTCATACAGCTGGTTCTCCTGCAGTCATACAGCTGGCTTCTCCTGCAGTCATACAGCTGGTTTCTCCTGCAGTCATACAGCTGGCTTCTCCTGCAGTCATACAGCTGGTTTCTCCTGCAGTCATACAGCTGGCTTCTCCTGCAGTCATACAGCTGGCTTCTCCTGCAGTCATACAGCTGGCTTTCTCCTGCAGTCATACAGCTGGTTTCTCCTGCAGTCATACAGCTGGCTTCTCCTGCAGTCATACAGCTGGCTTCTCCTGCAGTCATACAGCTGGCTTCTCCTGCAGTCATACAGCTGGCTTCTCCTGCAGTCATACAGCTGGCTTCTCCTGCAGTCATACAGCTGGCTTCTCCTGCAGTCATACAGCTGGCTTCTCCTGCAGTCATACAGCTGGTTTCTCCTGCAGTCATACAGCTGGTTTCTCCTGCAGTCATACAGCTGGCTTCTCCTACAGTCATACAGCTGGCTTCTCCTGCAGTCATACAGCTGGCTTCTCCTGCAGTCATACAGCTGGCTTTCTCCTGCAGTCATACAGCTGGCTTCTCCTGCAGTCATACAGCTGGCTTCTCCTACAGTCATACAGCTGGCTTTCTCCTGCAGTCATACAGCTGGTTTCTCCTGCAGTCATACAGCTGGCTTTCTCCTGCAGTCATACAGCTGGTTTCTCCTGCAGTCATACAGCTGGCTTCTCCTGCAGTCATACAGCTGGTTTCTCCTGCAGTCATACAGCTGGCTTCTCCTGCAGTCATACAGCTGGTTTCTCCTGCAGTCATACAGCTGGCTTCTCCTGCAGTCATACAGCTGGCTTCTCCTGCAGTCATACAGCTGGCTTCTCCTACAGTCAAACAGCTGGTTTCTCCTGCAGTCATACAGCTGGCTTCTCCTGCAGTCATACAGCTGGCTTCATACAAATGTTACTCCCTCATTATCCAGCTGCCCTGCCTTCAGTTTTTCTCTTCCTCTTCTTTATGTTGAATAAGATATAATAGTAGGTGTCCACTGATACGATTTAAGAAAGACATGAAACTGCACTTTTCGGACTATCCGAGTCTATCTGGTTTCTCTTCCGCACAGCCATTGTTCTAGGAGCCATTTAATTAAACACATGTTGTTGTTGTTGTTGTTCTTCTCCTCCACACACTGCACATTGGCAACAGTGACTTAAATAAGCCAACCGATGACTATGTACATTCAGTACCATCACCATCAAACTCAAAGTAAGTCCATTCTTAACACCTGTGCATAATTAATTCATGAACTACCTGATTAATTTCCTTTCCCAAATTCATCTAATTATTTGAGCTTCAGACACATTTCCTCTCCAAAAACATTTGTAATGAAGGAGGTGAATTGAAATGCTATTTTCAGGTTTAATAAAATCCAATAATGAGTTCATTAATGCACAAAATAGTGAAGCTCCATTTAAACTCCGGTTATCTACCTGACTGAAGAGTTGATTAAATTCCTCTCAGCACTTTCCAAAATTAAAATGTGATAGTCATTTCAGAGTAGCATGCCTCCTTGGCTTCCAGATTGTTAACGCCTACTTGGAGCCTAATGCATATAGAGTAGTAAACAGTGTATTTTCAGCCAAGGTGAAATGCATAAGTGTTCCTGTGAACTGCACAGAGAGGGTCGATGGATCAGAAGGGAGGATATTGTCTTGTGTAGTAAATGGATAATATAGAAGAACATAATACGCTTTATTCGTCCCTTTGGGAAAGGTAAGGCAGTAGCTCACACAGTCCGATAAATATGACGATAAAAGCTTGGAATACAAAAACAAGTACCATATTATCCATGACTAAAAGTTACCAATAAAAAGAACAGTGCGTAGGTTTACCTCACATTTTATTTTATTTTGTCCAAACACACTTACGAATAGTGAGAGACACAAACTCAGAAAAGCAAGTTCATTGGCTTTTAATCTGCTAAACTAAGTGGTACATTCAGACATATCATTCAATGTTTATCTATACCTGCTGCACCACCACGCCCCTTCCCGCTGCCTCCGCTCATCAGAAGCCAACCTCCTATCCATCCCCACCGGCATCAAGCACCGGACCTGGGGGGACAGAGCCTTCTCCGTCGCTGCCCCAACTCACCTCTTCAATCTGGCTTCTAATGTGTGATTGTTTTTGTATTGCTTGATTTTAATTTGACTTTAACTATATTTATTTGTTGTTCTTTTCTTTTCACTATCTCTGTAAAGCGTATTTGAGCACCTGTAAAAGCGCTAACAAAATAAATCTATTATTATTATCTTTTTTTTATTTTTAAGATGTTATGGCTAAGGTCTGAAAACTCAATACAAAAATGCATTAGTGCGACAAATTAGTGACATTTAAAAAAGGGCTTTCTTTGACTTGGCAACACCAGGAACAATTGACTTGTTGATCATTGTTGCCTTAAGATAATAAAAAATATCCCTTTCTTCAGAGAGAAATGGAATATACAATTTTCTGTTTGACATAATTTACCTTTTCTGATGGTATTTTGTTGACATTTGTGTGAAGTCAGTTGGCGTTCTGCTGCTGTGTTATCTACAATGAAGCGTGTTCATTATTATAAGTTGCTTTAAAATGTTGATTCTTAGTGACATTTTCCCATTTGATTGTTGGAGTATAGGTACCTGTAGAAACGCTGTGTGAAATCCACTGTCATGCTAGAAACATGACGAAGCACATCAATCATTTTACGTAAAAACGTTGTTGGACAACCTCAAACTATAGAAACATTTGGCTCGTGTTGAATACAAGGGGAAGTTCATAGAGAAAGCACAGTGAGGGTTTCTGAGAAAAATGAAAAAAGTAAAGTAGTGGAAAACTAATTTCCTCTGCTAAGTGTTGAATAAGATGGATTAGCGATATCTTCTTTGTAATGTAGATGAAACGTTCCTAATTACGCCGTTAAATGTCATAATCAAAGAGTTATTTCAGTTTGGTTTGTTCTCGATAGTGTGAGGATTACATTGTGAGATCTTCCTTTGATGAGATTGTGGTGAATAGTCTTTACTCGTGTGGGTGTGAAAGCTGCCGTCTGCTGGTGTGAACGCGTGTTCATTCCTGGCAGAGACGAGCAACCACTGAAGCTTCAGGAGTCCGTCTGATCAGCTTTGTTCCAAAACAACACAAACCTGAGTTTCCTGTGACAGAGAAACAGATAGGATTAGTGCTCTCTGTGTTTGCCTAACATCAGAGTTTAAAGAATAAGTTCACTTTGAATGCCATTCAGATCTCATTTCTCTTCTGGCTTGGTTTCATAAATCCAGGATTATAAAAACACCTTCAGGCCGTTATTAAACCAGGTGTGTAAAAAAAAAAATGGAAGCATTAATATGTATAGAATCGGACAGGAGCAGTTACTACAAGGTGAGGGAAGGTCAGACAAGATTACTGAGACACAAACACAGATCTGCTCAGGGTTACCTCCATGCTGCAACACTAGCTTAGGGAGAAGGTTTTGATGCCTTGCTCAAAGGCTGAATCGGCAATGTTTTACACTTAACTGGAGCACAGGAACAAATAAGGTATAGCACCCTTTTTGTGCACCTAGTCTTACTGGAATTCTGCATTTTTATATATTTATCTACCTTTATCTATCTATATTTATTTATTTATCTATCTATATTTATCTATGATGTGAGACATAGTCAAACAAAAAACGTAAATAGCGTTGGGTATATGAAATCACAGGAACATGCAGTGACGTGCGGTGAGGTTCATGGCTGGTGAGGCACTGACTCTTTCAGAGTCAGATTTACAAATATTATATTTTGACCTTAATCGAAATATTCGGTTATTTTCAAAAGCTTTTTTAGTCTGATGCTTCGATTCATTTTAAACAGACTGTTCAACAAAAGGATACCCAACATCTAAATATTGGATTGTTCTTTCTTAGTAAGATCCCATGTTCATTACATTTGTGGTCTTACCTTGACTTGAAGATGAAGTCCATGCTTTCCTTCTGGACAACAATCTCTATTACTTTTTTGTAAAAGTCCTCCTTATCTTCCTCTAGTTTCAAAAGTCTAGTTTGTTGTTTGCGTCTACGGTCTCTGCGTAGAATAACAGTAGCAACAAGAACCTGCGGGCTCACGTGCGCCCCCTTCAGTGCGGCAGAGGTTATGGCTGCCACCCCTGGTGCTTTTTTCATTGCCGTTGTACGGCGAGCCTAAATATCATATATACGAGAAATAAGTTATTTAGAGACTATGGATGGCGAGGATAAATGTAATAAAGGGATCTACAAACATTACATTGGTGACATACAGTGAGATGGTGCAGGCATGCGCTTCGGGCCCACTTTCCAGCCAGTTTCTGTGGGGTGACGCATTCTGAGGTGAGGCAGAGCTCATCTGTGCCTCACCTCACCACACAGTAACTGGCTTGAGCGCGCTCACAAAAGGATCTGTACACAATTCCTGGAGGCTGAAAACATCCCAGTTCTTGCATGGCCAGCATACTCACCGGACATGTCACCCATTGAGCATGTTTGGGATGCTCTGGATCGGCGTATACGACAGCGTGTTCCAGTTCCTGCCAATATCCAGCAACTTGGCACAGCCATTGAAGAGGAGTGGACCAACATTCCACAGGCCACAATCAACAACCTGATCAACTCTATGCGAAGGAGATGTGTTGCACTGCGTGAGGCAAATGGTGGTCACACCAGATACTGACTGGTTTTCGGACCCCCCCAGACCCCCCCAATAAAGCAAAACTGCACGTTTCAGAGTGGCCTTTTATTGTGGCCAGCCTAAGGCACACCTGTGCAATAATCATGCTGTCTAATCAGCATCTTGATATGCCACACCTGTGAGGTGGGATGGATTATCTCGGCAAAGGAGAAGTGCTCACTATCACATATTGTTTCAGATTTGTGAACAATATTTGAGAGAAATGGTTATTTTGTGTATATAGAAAATGTTTTAGATCTTTGAGTTCATCTCATGAAAAATGGGAGCAAAAACAAAAGTGTTGCATTTATATTTTTGTTCAGTGTATAAGTCGCTTTGGAGTATAAATTGCAGGTGCAGCCAGACAGCTAAAAAAACGTGACTTATAGTCCGGAAAATACGGTACATATGTTTTATTTCAGGGCGGGATGAAGACATGCTGCTGCAGAGAGACACAAACCTTTCAGGTTAACACAAATAAAATGAAGTAACAAATAAAATGTCTCTCCTCTGTAGGATCAGATGTGAGCAGCTCAGCTGTGAAGGGGCTCTCAGAGGAAGACCTGCTGCAGTCCTCCTCCTCCTCTGACCGGCAGCCTGCAGGCATCTGCCTCCATCTGCTAGGTGAGGATTCAAACTGTCACAACCCGAGGCTGGCTACCTCCTCTGTTCACACAAAACCTGCCAGGGAAAACTGGATCAAGTTTTTTCGAGTAGTTCATCTGCTCCTTTCTGATTTTATTTCATTCATTCATTCTAAGGGAACTTCATTCAATCCAGACAGCAGAGGTAATTATATACGTCGTTAGAGCACATGGCTGGTTTTTCTCCAATCCCTGATTAATATTACATATTCTTAGATTGAATCTCCTCTGATAGACAGATTAATCATCCGAGGACTATAATGACGTGAAGATAGTTTGAGTGCTTCTCATTTGTTTTCAACATATAATCGAGTGCTTTTTGTACTGGATGAGTTCTTGCGTGTAATGATCAGCCGTCACACGTTAACACACCTGTGACCCGGATAGAGTTCTGACCGTTTAAACCCTCTGCCGTCATTATTTATTATCTTTGGATAAGGTGCACTGAAACTGGGCACAAATAGAAAAAAAGTTTACCGGCACTGCCACCACCTTCATGCTGACGTTGATTTGGTGAAATGTAGCAACAAGGGCAGTTTTATAAAGTTATGTAAGTAACTAAAACGAATTGATGTCTAACATTCAAAACAACTAAGGAGAAGAAATGATTCTGAATGAAGTTGTTCATCACTATATTCAGCGACTGGTACTTGAACTAGGATAAATAGGTTGTTGATTTAACTTTCATATTTCATGGGTCTTTATTTGTCATACATTTAAAGTGTAAACTTCAAGTGTTATGACTTAAAAATAGTCATCAATAATTATTGATACAGAATACATGCAGAGCAAAACTTCATTTCTCATACCAGAGTTGTATGTTTATTTCTTCAATTATAGTCAGTTGCTTTTAAGAACTTATTTTTGATTTGACATTGCACTTTTACAATTTATACAAAATAAATGTTTTTTCAACTTCTTGCCGCCTACATTAATCAAAATGCAACTCCACTATTAACATTTCTGGTGGAAATAATGCTCTGTACTTCTACAGTAGCAATAGTTCATTTAGTTTCCAGCTGCTAACCGCACTAGAGATGAGGAGCGGGCGCCACCTGTTATTATTAAGAGACTCCATTCGTTTATTGACGGTAATTTCAGCCTAAATTAAAAGAGAAATTAAACAGGAACGACACTAAATGGGATTTTCATTCAAACTTGTTTTGGCAACCAACTCTGTAGCACAGCGGGGAACTTTCTGAGCTGCTCTGCCAACATGAGATGTGTTACATGAATAAATAAATGAACTCATAATAAAACTGGAAGAAGAAAGTCTGAAGATCATCAGAAAAAAGACTGAAATGCAATTAGCTGCTTCATAATGGAGATGTATTCAAAACCATACATGAGGAGGAAAACTGACTTAATGTATCACAGTCTGCAAAGACATGATTGGGAATCAATTACAAGTATGATTTAATAAGTGTTTTAAATGAATGGAATTTAAATTGTAATATATTTGGAGTGCTAAACGTTGTATTCATGGTTATTGGCTCTATAGTAAAGAAAGGAAAAAGAGAACAGGAAAAGCAAAAGATGTATAAAGACGCGCAAAGCTGGACGAAGACAGACGTGAAGTAAACACTAAGGGAACTCACGATGGGCTATGATATAAATCTTGTTTCCGAGAGCGTTTAAAAGGGTAATCTTCCCTGATAGCTCTTCATTTAACCAGCAATTAAAAAAGTTTTGTATAATCCCCCTTACCTTACAGAGAGATGCCCTTTTACTTGCTTGTTAAAGATTTGCTATGCTTCTAGAGCGCTTTCTAAAAAGCTACATAACTCGGTACTAAATGAGTATTTAATTACCAGCAAACAGAAGGGCTGCCCACCTTTTACCCACAGTGCAATGCATCAGTGTATACAGTACTCAGTGGTGTTGACTTCTGTCTGAAAGTCATTGATTTCTCTGCCTCTTTTCTGGCCTCCAGCAGCTCGGTCTCTGCTCTGCTCTCAAAGAAACTCAGAGTCTTTTCTGTTTCTGCCAACTGGCCGGCCGAGGGGCAGCCGGCCTCCATCAGCTGCTGCTGTGAATACAAAACAGAGTCAGAGTGCATCCATCACCACCCCGCTCCATCTGGTACTCAACATACAAGCGTGGACAAAAGGAAACAGCTGGCATCGTGTGAGAGACACTTTGAGCCTTTTAATGCTTCAGTTTACTCCTTAATAAACTCTGCTCTGCTGACAGCTCACGATGGCTTTGAGCTCAGATTGTGAAGGATTATTAAGGCTACAAGGAACTTCGCCTTGTATGTATGGGAGAATACATAATCACGGTAAAATAGATTAAATAGTCAAATAAGAGAAAATATAGACACTATATATAACTCCCTGCTAACTATCGGTTAAGACGCGTTTTATCTCAGTTGCTAACGGGATTGCCACTGAGGGTTTATACTTTACAGGTAGGAAAGCTTGAATAAAAGTGGACGCTGCAGCAAAGCTAATTAGCATTAATGCAATTTCTCCAGTTTGAACTCTTCTGCTCTCCGTTTCCTCAAAGGTCAACATCGTCAAGATTGCTTCCCCGTTTGGACAAGAGCTCAGACTCATAGGTCAAACTGAACCTGGTGACTGATGAATTGATCACGCCCCACCATTTGAAATGCTAGTAGACCTGACCTTTGTTCTTCTGTCCCAATTAACAGCGAGGGGACTGTGTAAAGAATAATTATCTGTTAAATGTTAGCACAGTGAAAACACTACAGTTTCCTTCCATGCTGTTAATGTTTGGCAGAAAAGTCTTATCTCTCAGAAACAAACATGGATGAGATTATTGACAACAGGATCAGGATCCACCTTCACTGACTTCTTGCTT